GTTATCAGCTCCACCCTGCCACTGTTTACTTTCCAAGATGTCCAGAATCTCTCAGGGAGGATAGGTAGAGATCTGATTGGGGGTTAAGATGTAGGGTGGTATAGAGGAAGCTGGTTTTCAGAAAATCCTATTATATCTGTGAGCTTGAGGCCCAGCCTGAAGTCTAGACAGGCAGAAGTCTAGATTGCCTAAGCAGCAGTTCACTGATCCCCTGGTCTGTACATTCTTGGAGTCACGTCTTTCAACCCGATAGCTCTCCCTTCTTGCCGTGTCAGACTCTGGGCCTCCTGGGGTAGAAAGGTCAATTCTCAGTTCATCCAGTGGCTTGGACAGGAACTCTGAGAGTGAGTCACTGGCATTCAGTACAAGTTGTTTTTATTTAATTTCTTCTTAGAGGAGGCGTGGAGAATATGAAATTTGGGTTACTGTGTTGAATGATAAAATTACAAAGTAATTCAGGAAACCAAAATGCAAATACAACAGCCACTAATGAGACGACTTTGCTGACTCCATTTTTGGCTCCTGAGGTTTGGTCTCATTCTCATGTCTGGGTCACCCACAAGACCTGCTTCCTTTCCTGTTCTACAGTCCAGAATGGCCAGAGGGACAAGCTGAGCCCCCGGGGCCTGCCTGTCTCTATCAGCATCTCCCAGACCTGTCTGCTATACACTCCAGGTTCAGCCTTGTTTTTCCCTCTTCCCTGAACACCCCAGCTCCATCTTACCTCTGGCTTTTGCTTTCGGTCTTCCTTCTGGAGGGGATACCAATGCCAACCCTTCTCATCCTGCATGTCTCAGCCCAAATTTCAGTTCCTGGGGCGTCCTCTTTGACCATCTTTTATAAAGTAGGTCACTTCCCTGTCACACTCTCCTTATCTACAGCTATTCAATCCCAGGACACTGTGTTACCTTCCTTGCAGCCCTGATCTCAGGTACTTTTATATTCATCTGCTTATTTATCTCATGCTTCCTTGTCTTAGTTAGAGTGTCTATTGCTGTGAAGAGGCACCATGACCATAGCAACTCTTATAAAGGAAAACATTTAATTGTGGTGGTGGCTTACAGTTCAGAGGTTTAGTCCATTATTATGATGGTAGGAAGCAAGGCAGCATATAGGCAACCATGTTGCTGGAGAAGGAGCTCAGAGTTCTTACATCTCAACCCACAGGCAACAAGAAGTGGTCTGAGACACTGGGCATGGCTTGAGCATATATGAGACCTCAAAGCCCACCCCCCTAGTGACATACTTCCTCCAACAAGGCCACACCTACTCCAACAAAGCCACATCTCCTAATAGTGAGCTTATAAGGGACAATTCCATTAAACTACCAAGAGACAAAAAAGCCACAGTGACTGATACACTATGAGCTGATAAAAGCAGACACTCCAATGTCTGTTAAATGTCATAGACTCTGTCTCTGTTTTAAAACAAGAGGTTAAGAAAGTAAAGCAGACATGTGTGATTTCCCATCTTCCCAGTTTGGGAGACAACATAGCCTCTCTAAAGCTTTCACTCTGAGAAGCCACTCAATGGTAGTTATTCCTGATTTTAGAATTTTGGTAACTCAACCGTCTAAAACACCAATGGCAAGGCCTTTGTCATCCATCATCAATCCAAAGGCTTTGAGATTCACTCTGCCCTGAGTCTCCTCTATTTCCTATTCCTGTACATCAGGTCACTGAGTCCTGAAGACTTATTCTTGCAGAGGACCAAAGTTCAGCACCAAAATCGGGTGGCTCGCAAACAAACCCACATGCAAACTTACACCCACATAAAATTAAAATTAATAAAAATAAATCTTAAAAAATAGAACTGAAAGAAAGACTATTAAATATTTAAATTAGAGTTAAGCCGGGTGACAGAGTCCTTGGGAGGCCAAGGCAGGAAGATTGAAAGTTCAAGGCCTGCCTTGGCTAGCTACATAAAGAATTCAATGCCATCCTAGACAACTTAGTGTGACTGTGTGTCAAAGAGGAAAAATAAGAAGAAAGAAGGGGGAAAACAGTAGAATGCATGCCTAGCATGTACAAGGGCCTAGGTTCAATCCCGGGTACCGCAAATAATAAATAGATAAATAGTAAATGTATGAGTTGGAAAACAATGGGAAATAGCATATAATCATGAGCTGAATTATACATAATCAAGCAATAAGGTGTGAAGTGTATGTATGTGATATGGAAAAGGGGGGTCAGCAGAAAGATTTCTAGGGCCAGGGAGGAGCTCTCCGTGGGTGAGGTGACAGGTCCGAAGTGGAAGCAGCCGCAGAGGACACATTTGTAAGGCAGCCACTCAGCACTGCCTTAGCTCTGATGCAGTGGTTCTCAACCTTCTTAATGTGGTGGCTCTTTAATACAGCTCCTCATGCTGTGGTGACCCCCTACCATTTTCACTGCTACTTCCTAACTATAATTTTCCTACTCTTATGAATCATAATGTAAATATCTGATATGCAGGATAGCGGATATGTGACCCCTGTGAAAGGGCCATCTGACCACCAGTGGGGTCGTAACCCACAGGTTGAGAACTGCTGTGAGTCTCCTCAGCTCTAGCTTTTTGCTGCTTACCATCCTGGGTAATGGGTCCACTGGGTTTATAACTTTAGGTTTTTTCCAATAAATCTGATCAATTTTTTTTTAAGATTTATTTATTTATTATGTATACAGTGAGTGTTCGGCCTGAAGGCCAGAAGAGGGCACCAGATCTCATTGTAGATGGTTGTGAGCCATCATGTGGTTACTGGGAATTGAACTCAGGACCTCTGGAAGAACAGCCAGTGCTCTTAACCTCTGAGCCATCTCTCCAGCCCTCATTTCAATTTTTTTATTAAATAATTATTTGAGATGAACAAAGTCTTTTTTGGAGCCTTTGTATAACCTCTGACCCAGTGATCTAGGTGGCCAGATGGAGGCTGAGCCCTAGACATTCATTACTTTAAAAAAAAAAAATCTGGCCGGGCTGTGGTGGCACATGCCTTTAATCCCAGCACTTGGGAGGCAGAGGCAGGCAGATTTCTGTGAGTTCAAGGCCAGCCTGGTCTACAGAGTGAGATCCAGGAAAGGCGCAAAGCTACACAGAGAAACCCTGTCTTGAAAAATCAAAAAAAAAAAAAAAAATCTGTACCAGAGGCTGGTTATCAAATGCTGATTGCCTCATAAAACCAGGACATTACATAGTTTTTTTCTTTGTGGTGTGTGTGTGTGTGTGTGTGTGTGTGTGTGTGTGTGACAGGGGATCAAACTCAGGACTTCTCACATTCTAGGCAAGCACTCTACCATGGATCTATATCCATCCCTTAGGAAGTAATACTTGGTCTATGGCAAATTTCCCCCTCTGCCATCTTCTAAACACTTATTAACTGAATGACTACCAAGTAAGATGACGTGATGTCTGTTACCTCTGAACTTTAGAGTTGGCCAGCTGAATAACTGAACCTCTACTGTGATAATAAGAGAATGAGAGGCAAGCAAGTCCAGCTATCTCACCCATTAGGGCTTGATCCCCAGGTGCTGACAGCAGTCTACTATGGAACTGTTCCCTCCCACAGATTCCATCGCCAGACAACCCATCCAGCGTCATCAAGGGGCAAACTGGCCCCCAGAATCTGACCATAGGTTTCCCCATTCAACAGACAAGTTCTAAGTGGAACATTCGTCTCTCTGTGCGCACATGGTAGGATACATGTGGCCCCTGAATCGTGTTGTGCAAAGGTCCAGGAACTGCTCTCCTAACCTCATACATCTGCAGTCAGAAAATATTGAAATTAAAGCTTCAGGATACACACAAATCTCTCTTTTTGGTCTAGCTCATACTGTGATCTTAGGCTTGCTGAAGGACTAACTTCCATCACAGCCCTGACAATATTGATTGTTCTGGCTTAAAGGTACATAAGTAGATTGATTTTAGTTTCCCCTCTCAAACTAAAAAGGATCATAGTAGTGTTAGTATTTTCCTGTTTCCACCGGTTGGTATACACTGAATGAATAAATAATAATGTTACTTGGAAAAATGTGGTCGATGGAAAGCAAGGTGCAGGTCTTGAATTGCACTATGAACTGGTTTCGATGCTTCCTACACTTGTCCATTTTGAGTGGCGCCATGGATTCTACACCATCCATTCTGACCTATTGTTTGAAAAAAAAAAAAAAAAAGATCACTTTTGTGGTTGAGGTCTGGGGTGCAGAAATGAAGCCAGCAGGGGGAAATGTGTCCTCTTGTGGAGGTTAATAAGCATCAGGACTGTCACTTCCCTCTAAGTCAGGGGGAAGGAAATATATTCACCAGGGGCCTTTGCTAATTTGTTTCTAATTTAAGGACAATTAGGCAATTCTACACTCCCACCCAGCTTCTGCATGCTTTCTTTCTCTACTAGATAAAAAAGAAAAAGGAAGAAAAAATCTGGAAACAAAGAAGTCTATGAAATTTTTGGCTTCATTTGACGGGACACCTAGTAGTCAGTCACCAGGGAGCCTGGGAGCCAGCCAATAACTGTTTTATACTGTTTCCTCTTTCTGGGAAAAAAAAAATTGTTTTCTACTGTGCCAAAGTATTACTTGTTCTGGAAATACTTCTTAGCTGAGATGTTTCTTGAGCTCTTGCAGCATAGAATCCTTTAGGTCATAAATACGTTCTGTACAAGAAAAAAAGCAGTCCCTCCCTCTTTTTAGATACTTCATCTAAGAAGACATGGAAGGCGACGAAGGCGACGAGGAAGAAACACCAAATTCTTCTGGCCTCTCGCATTTCGCATTTCTTTACTTCCAGGTGGCATTTAACTTCCAACTGCGCAGAACCCCAACAGGAAGGCAAGCGGCCTCAGGGCGGTGCAGGAAGCCGGCTCCCGCGGTGGGGAGACTATGTACCAGCGGGATTTAAACCCGCTACAGAGGGGGCGTGGTCCGGGAAAGGCGGCGCAGCTCGGGTAGGCGGGGCGGGGGCGGGGCTCCGGGAGGCTAAGCCTAGTGCAAGAAAGACCTGAGCTCCGGGAGCCAGCGTCTGTCTCTTTAAATGCCAAGGGCTGCGCTCCCGCCCCGGAGCCCAGAGCCGGATCTACAATCCCGTCCCTCCCGCTCCGGCGCTTGTTGCTCGCCCGGCCCGAACGGGAGCTGCGGACTCCGGGAAGCCCAGCTACCTCCTTCTGCTTTCCTCTTCGTGTTCCACCTTCCGGGAGATCTGCGTGAGGGCTTGTACAGCAGCGAGCGTGAACAGGCATTGCCCCCAGCCCCATCTTCAATTCTTGGGGCGCTACGCAGCCGCGCGGGGCGGGAAGGGGAGAAATGCGTCCTTCCCCGCTGACTAGCTTCGCCCCGGTCCGCGCTGGGAGAGGAGGCACTGCGGAGCCCACACCTGCAAACTCGTCCTAGAAGTCTCAGGGTGCGGCAGGGCGCCCCTCCCGGTCCCCCAGGGCTTCTACGTTTCCGCGAGTGAGTCGGCGCAGGTAATCCGAACCCCAGGGCAGGAGCGCTGGGGAGGAGCCGGCAAGCTGCAGCAAGGACTTGTCGCAGGTGAGCCAGGTGGGGTGGCTCACCTGCTACGGCCATGTCGCGGGAGCCTCTCTGGTTTCTAGAGGGTGCAGTCACTGTGGGGCGTCTAAAGCCTAGTTAGGATCCGGAGTGGGAGGGGAAGTTGGGAAAAGAGAAGGGAATTGGAATAAAGTTTCTAGTTCCTTCCCCCCCCCTCTTGCCCAGGGTTGGCAGGTAGGGCGCGGGCGGAAGCTGTAGGCGCAGCTGATGCAATGGGCTTTGGACGGGGCCAGGTGATGGCTCGGGGTTGGGGAGAGCTGGAGTGGCCATATCTCCAGTAATCGTGACCTAAGAGGTGGAGGAACGCGAGGAAGCTCGCTTCCTAGACTCCCCCTAAAATGGCTCCAGGTGCTCGGCCCCCACCCGTTCTTTTTCCAGAACAAAACGTCTTTCCCTTAAGTGGCATCTACAAATACATTTTTCCTCGTCTCCTTTTCCAACAGGTGGCTTTAGCCCCTGCCCCGGGACCAGTGCCAATGACTCTGCTGGTGGTTTCGCTTTCTCCTCTCGCAGTCCTGTGAACCAGCGTCCACAGCGTGATGGGCAATCAGGTGGAGAAACTGACCCACCTAAGTTACAAGGAAGTTCCCACGGCCGATCCGACCGGCGTGGACCGAGACGATGGGCCCCGCATAGGAGTCTCTTATATTTTCTCCAATGACGACGAAGATGTGGAACCGCAGCCACCGCCCCAGGGGCCTGATGGCGGAGCGTTGCCGGACTCCGGGGACCGGCCTCCCCTGCCCCCGCCGCAGCCCTATGACCCGCGGCAGCACGAGGTGGAATGCTCGGTGTTTTATCGCGACGAGTGCATCTATCAGAAAAGCTTCGCGCCGGGGTCGGCGGCGCTAAGCACCTACACACCCGAGAACCTGCTCAACAAGTGCAGTCCAGGCGACCTCGTGGAGTTTGTGTCGCAGGCGCAGTACCCACACTGGGCTGTCTATGTGGGCAATTTCCAGGTGGTGCATCTGCACCGGCTGGAGGTGAGCAACAGCTTCCTGACCGACGCAAGCCAAGGTCGGCGCGGCCGCGTGGTCAACGATCTGTATCGCTACAAGCCACTGAGTCCCAGCGCTGTGGTGCGCAACGCGCTGGCGCACGTGGGCGCCAAGGAGCGGGAGCTCAGCTGGCGCAACTCGGAGAGCTTTGCCGCCTGGTGCCGCTATGGCAAACGTGAGTTCAAGATCGGTGGCGAGCTGCGCATCGGCAAGCAGCCCTACCGTTTGCAGATTCAGCTCTCGGCTCAGCGCAGCCACACTCTGGAGTTCCAGAGCCTGGAGGACTTGATCATGGAGAAGCGGCGCAATGACCAAATCGGACGCGCGGCGGTGCTGCAGGAGCTCGCCACGCACCTGCACCCGACTGAGCCAGATGAGGGCGACAGCGATGCGGCTCGGACTACACCGTCTCCCCTGCGCCCCCCTGCACTGGGCTCCGAGGAGGAGGATGGAGACTCGGTGGTGCACTGATACTTAACCTGGGCTCAGAGCTGCAAAAGGGAGCTGTTTGCAACGGCCGCGCCCCTTCCTCCCCACCCATACCCCCTTCATCTGGGCCCCATTTGATATTCTTGGGCCTTTTGGAAAACGCAGAGTTGGTGAAATGCACAGCCGACTTTGGACGGGGGAGGAGGAAGGGGACGGAGGGAGCAGGTAGGAGCACTTTGGCTGGTGGGTGGCCATGGGGAGCATTTTCTTCCAGCTGCCTCAGTCTACCTTCCTTTCTGAGGTGAGGTAAAGTGTAAATTTGCTGGGAGTGTCAACTGTGACAGATCTGGGACCAAATTCAACCCTTCCTATACAAGCAGGCTTAGGGAATTTCAGAACACCTATGCCCTGCATTAGGCCTCTGTCCCTTTCAGCTTGGAGGATGCAGGGTACAAAGGCCAGAGGGGATTGGGGAGGCGCCGCCACGGGGCAGCTGGAAGAGCTGCTTATCTGCTTCCCCCACTGAGCTGTGCTTGGGATCGTAGTGATTTATTTTATGGGATTCCCGGGGCACAGGTCTGCTGAAACCACAAGATCTGGGAGCAGCAGACCGAAACCAAACAGCCCTGTATTAAGTGCAACAAATACTTTAGCAAACTCAGGCTACAGGCTACAAACAGACTCTGCTACCTCCCTCCTCCCTGTCCCCAAGTACCTCCTCTTGGGAAGCTGACTCTAAACAGAGTCTCTGGCTCACAACCCTTCCCCGTCCATCTCCACCCCCTTCTCCCCCTCCCCCACCCCGGTTACAAGTAAATCATTGTCAAGGGCCAGGCAGAGAAAGGATTCAATTAAGGTACCGTTCTGCTGCCTCTGTTTTTGGCCTGCCGCTGTGGACTCTTAGAGCTGTGGCGGTGTTATCAAGGGAAGCAATAGCCCTTTGTGTCTCTGATCTAATTAAACCTGCTTGGCGTGTTCATCTGCAGGTCACAGATGGGGTTGGCTTGTGCCACCCCCATAAAATATCCTCTAGGGAATCTGCCAGCGATGCCCTGGCAAGAATTAAATCTCTCCTATCCCCTTGCTGAATGGTGAGGATAACCCTGTACAGATAAAGCTGGACCCAGGGTTCTTTCTGCCCTTTTTTTTTTCCTCTTCTTGGTCCGCTTTCCTCACCATGGCTTTGTTCTGCCTGGTGGTAAATCCTAGGTTTCAGACAGTTGCTGTGGTAGGTAGGGTTAGGGTTAGGTTCACTTTACCACGTATGATTGAAGTTTAATTCAAGGTTCAGAGTCTTGTTATATGGACCCAGTTTCTTTGTGGCTTGGAGAACATCCCATTCCGAGCCTTTTCTTAATTAAGAGTGGTGACATGAGTCCCACAGATTTTGATTATGGTCCCAAATGTAGGTTGGTGATGGTGGATGTGTCGTTGGCTGACTGACAGGTAGCAATTGGGTCGCCTGCTGAACTTCTGTGCACTTTAGTACAAGGCTTTAAGATGTCGGCAGCCCTGTCCCCTGAACTGTGGGCGGGCCTTTGACTGCCTGTTAACTGCTCTCCAAGTTGAGCCTGGTTAAAAGCCTTTCCTGCCTTCCACACACAGTCCTTGTACTGTAATTGGACAAGTAACTTGTGAACTAGATTTTAGCCACTGGAACAGAATCTTACTTGAGTGCCCTGAAGCCATGGCCATTGTTGGGCTTCTTGCCTGGGGAATCACACTTTTTTTAGACATAAAAGTTGAGAGCCTTTTTTTTTTAAAGCCTAGATCTTCATAGTACCTCAGCATGAAACTTTTTCATTATAAAGGCATTAAATGCATTTTCTGCTTTCATGGTGATTGCCAAACAATGTTGAAGATGAACTGTACACTAGCCTTGGTTTGGGACATTGGAGGAGAATCAGTTTCTAATTGGGAATGTAGATCTGATTTCTGTGTACGTGAGTACACAGCTATGTGTTTATATGGTCTTGTTCTTGGAACAGCAGAGCAAGATAAACACAGGAGGCGATGACATTTAGGAAAACCTATGTCTAACAGATTGGGGTTAGTGAAAATGGAAATTGATGCCCACTGTGTGGACGACAAGAGAGGAAGAGTCAGAACAGCTGTTACCAGCAGCTCTGGGATTGCAAACCATTCCTGCTCTCCATCCCAGCCTTTTTTATCACCACTCCTGCCCCCTCAAAAGAAAGTCTGTTCACGCTCAGTGTAGCAGGTGATTTGTATTAGCCATAGAGTGCCCCCAAAGGAAGAACTCATAAGATCCACCCTACCGGTAGCATTATTACTTCTTGGAAATAGATCTTTTCCAGGTGATATTTTCTGGAATGTGTTGTCTACAATTCAGCTGGGTACCAATGATGGCGAATATGGAATGCTTAGGAAGAGCCATCCCCTTGGAAGTTTCCTTAGGGGGTAGAAGGATTTTAGCAATGGTTCTCAACCTGTGTGTGTGTGTGTGTGTCTGTCTGTCTGTCTGTCTCGTCGAGACCCTTTGGGGCACATACTAGATATCCTGTATATCAGATATTTACATTATGATTCATAGCAAAATTGCAGTTATGAAGTGGCAGTGAAGTAATTGGATGCTTGGGGGTCACTACAACATGAAAAATTGTGTGAAAGGGTCTCAGCATTAGGAGGGTTGAGAACCACTGATTTGAAGTAAAGCAGCATCGACTTAGGGCTCTAAGAAGAGTGTGGTATCATCTCTTGGTTTTTAAGACAGCAGTGTTATGGGGGAATTTTTTTTTTTTTAATTTTTATTTTAATGTCCTGGCAATGGCTATGTCTGGCACTTTAGAAAATAAAAGAATATTTAATAATTTTTGTTTCTCCTTAGGAATAAGACATAGAACTATTTTGTACTGTGAATTACGGACGCTCTTTGAAGGAAAGAAATATTGATTCCAATGTTCTTCCGAAGCTCTGGAGGGGGATAAGCAGGACCCTGTGGAACACATACTAAAAGAAACCAGACAAATTCTATTTTCTTACCCGAGCAAATATTTTATTGAGACTGCTTATGTATGTCAAAGGAGCCTACAACTTCAGCTACACAACTTTTTCTATGAGGAGAACTGGTATTTTGTAGCTTTTATTCCACGTTTAATTAAACATGACTTTGTAGCAGGAAAATGTCTAGCAGAAGACTTTATTGCAGATCTTGAAGATTTTTAGTTTTTATGAAAATGGTTTCAGTGGTTAAAGCCCCTCAAAACTTTGGCGCTTCTGAGCCTCATGGCGCCATTGGACAAGAACAACCACATGAAAACATATTTTTTGGAAGCAAAACTTTAATTTTATATGACACATATATACTATGGAAAGCTAAGAAAATTTAAGGACTACTTGTTTTTTCTTTTTTTCTTAAAATGGGATCCACTGTGTTGAAGACTCTTGATATTATGTGCTTGTCTAGCCATTAAAAAAAAAAAAACAAATTAAAATAAAATTGACCACGATCATAGTCACCCAATGGATTTGTTTGGAAAGTTAGATTTTGTGAATTGTTTAAAAAATCAGGATAATGATCAATTTGACTGTTTTATTCATCTTTTCCTTATGCCGTTTTGTTCTTGGTTATAAATCTGTGGCCTGTGAAGAATTACCCATCAGGATACATACTCCACATGCATTTTATTTCCCAGCAAATTGCAGAAACTTTAATTTTGTTGGAGGTTGTATGTTAAATCAATTTTCTTTCACCACTTCTTGAGGAGGAGGTTCTAGTTTGAAATTGTATCATTTCCTTCAAAATGAAGGGCAGTACTTAGTTAAATAAAAGATTGATGACATCTTTTAAGCCATTTCCTCTTCACTCTGTCTTATTAAAATAAAAGCTGTCAAGTTCTTTTGAAAAATGTTATGAGGGTTCCCAATAAACCATCTATTATTAGAGCTCATTGCATTCATCTCTCCACATATACACCTTCTCTTTTGACATTTTTGATCTAAATTCAAGCTACTCAGCTTACTGTAATATGTGTATGTCATTCTTACGTTGTTCAGAGACTAGTTTGGTGGATTCACTTAGTGACCCAAACTCTTGTATTTACCAAGTGGGAATTAACCACCCATTGTTTTATGCTGTCTATGTTCGTGACAAGTGTCTTGTGACCACACATCTTCAATACACAGTTTTCAGAAACAATGGGAATGTTACCAGAAGATGTACTTAAGGCGTCTATAGTGGGAAGGTCTGTGTTCAGCAACTGGTTTGAACTTTGGGTGGTTTCCCAGCCTCAGGTGAAGCACAATGCTTATCACAGGGCACTGTTGTCATGCCAACAGATACAGGTGTGTGTAGTTGGGAGAACAAATACGACGTCTAATAAGGTACCTTGAAAGCCCGCCAGCATTCCCCAGGACTACCTCTAAAACTGCCACCACAGTATCCAGAGGTTCAAGTCCAGGCTGAGAATTTTATATAACAAAGTTGAGTGGAGTTACAAGGAGCCCAAGCAAGCAGGAGGTCATTGCTACTGTAATCTCAGAGTTCTCATTGCACAAGACACTTTGGGGAAGAGAGCCTAATGCAGAATTTCACTAATTCCTTGGTAGTCTTGGTGGAGGCTGCTGTTCCTCCTTTTTCTAAGTGGGCCAGCTTGCTTGATGTGGGAAATGACATGTTCCCAAGCCTTTAAAAGGTCCTCTAAAGTGAACAGGCTCAAATAAGTGCAAAAAGGTTTCTATTTCCTTTTACTGAATTTCCTGGGGAAACTGCTTATTAAACAAATATAGCAATTTGCCTGCAGAATAAATGTATTTTCAATCACAATAAGGTACAGTCCTGAGCATTATGAAGGGCCAGAGGGTGTTGAGCCCAGTCCTGCATCAATATGGGGGGGGGGAGGAATTCTTCAAAGAAGAATGATACTTTTTTTTTTTTTTTTTTTTTTTTTGGTTTTTCGAGACAGGGTTTCTCTGTGTAGCTTTGCGCCTTTCCTGGAACTCACTTGGTAGCCCAAGCTGGCCTCGAACTCACCGAGATCCGCCTGCCTCTGCCTCCCGAGTGCTGGGATTAAAGGCGTGCGCCACCACCGCCCGGCGAAGAATGATACTTAATTGAGACTGTATGAGTGTACTCAAACAAGTTGAAGCCAGGGGGAGGTCCTAAGGACAGGGTTTGAGAAACAATAGCCCTTAGCCGCAGTAGTTAACAAGAGTGCTTGAACAGAGTGGCCAGGCAGCTGCCCTACTGGTTCCATTGGCTTCTGTGTAAGCTTGTGGTTTTGGCAGAGTCTTTTGCTATAGTGACTATCAGACAATCACAGAATGACTAGTCATGACTTCCTGGCTAAGTGACTCCCATCTTGACTCTGATATAATTTTCACTTTCTCACTAGGAGCCAGAACACAAAGAAGTTTATGTACCACCCCCCCAATATATATATTTCATATATATATGAAATGACCCAGTCCCTAAACTTATTATAGGTATGGGGAAATCATATATATATATATATATATGGGACAGGTTGTAATAAAGGTGACTGTGTAAAGGGCTGCTCGTTTATAGGAATGCAAATAGAGCAAATGTATACATGTTTAAGTAGAGTTTGCAACCGGCAGAGGAGAAGCCTGTAGTCCTGTCATAAAATCAGACAGAAACACAAGTACCAATAATAGAGATCATGATGTCACTGACAGGACTGATATTTACTAAGTCCTTAGGTAGGAGGCTCCGCAATTCCCGTAGTGTACCTGATGTATGGCAATGAACGACATCCGTAGTCACTCCTATTTAAAATAGACAAGACAGATAACAACAATAAAATGTCAGAAGTATTTGATTACAGTTTGTGACGGAGTTCAGGGAAGATGTGTAGTGTGTAGAAGAGGTTCTCTTCATCAATGAGTCAGAATGCTACATGTCAAGAGGCAGGGGATGCGTCCATTGCTTTGGACCGAGTGCAGATCATTCATCAAGGCAGAAAGACTGGAGGCAAATGAATGAATCCTTAGTGCTCTCAAAATGCCTTTGTTCCACCTCCTGGTACTCATGGACTTCTCCAAGTCATTCATGAGTTCCTTTGTTCCTCAGAGCAGAACACAGGCAGTGACCCTCCATAAGAGATTGAGTGGCCGGATGTGTTTTGCTAGACCAAACCCTCCATCATCTCACAGTGATGTTAGAACTATGTTTTGAGCAGGATGAGCATAGCAATGGTTTTTAAGAGGCATAGGGTGGGACAGTCAATGACTATCAGAGCTGGAGATTATCTTGTTATTACTATGTGGGCCTTAGATTACTAGGTTAGGAAGTAGAGTGTGAATCCAGGCCTTGGCCCAATGCAGGAGAGTAGTCAAGTGGGTGGACTCAGCTAGATGAGAAGTGAATAGCAAGATTTACAGCCTTAGAATCATTACTGAGGAGGAGGGAATTGTGTTCAGCTGGTAAACCACGGCTGTGAGTCTAGTGCTATCGTGATCTCAAGAATGGTCCTAAGTGGCTATAAGGATGCACTCTAGATTACTTCCTTTGGGAGGTATAGAACTTAGTCAAGTCTCAGGGTGGTTATCTAACTATTCAGTACATTCTTTTCAGTCTTGTAACTTGGGATGCATTGCTGAAGGGAAAAGGCCTGCCTGGACACAAAGTATGGTTGAGCCTTACAGTTAAAGGACCTGTGTTTCTCTGCTGTGGCCTCTGCTTATTAGCCTGTGACACTGGGGAGAAGTTGCATACTTCCCTGAATACTGAATTTCTCCTTTGTACAATGCACTTTTTCAGTTGTATTTGTAAAGTAATCCTCTGTGTGTATGACATTGTAGCAGTTAATACTTAATACTAACAGAAATCAGCATCAACATTAATATTAATGTATATTAATACGTTTGGAAGATATCTACCTTAATGTTAGTTGTAAGGGCAAAATGAAACAAGTCCTTAGAGGCTCCCAATAATAACGACTAGGATTAGGAACAAAAGTTTGGGGTTTCATGGACAGTAGTACACTTGATAGAGTGCTCGCTGGGAAAACATGACAGCTGGGTTTGGATTCCCTGGCCCCACAGGAATGCTGGTTAGAACAGTGCACATCTCATATCTGTAATGCCCATGGCTTATAGGTGGATCCCTGAAGCTTGCTAGTCAGCCAATCTAGCCAAATTGGCAACCTTGAGGTTCAGTGAGAGAGCACGCCCCATAAACTAATGTGGACAGTAATGGAGGAAGACACCTGGCATCAACCTTTGGCCTCTACATATGCACACAATCAGGCACACACACACACACACATACACACACACACACACACACACACACACACAGGCAGAGAAAGGAAATTGTGGGATATTATATATATTCTAAAGCCTTACTCAAGTTACCGTCTGGGAAAGGAACTCTTCCCTTTAGGCTTAGAGAATTTCTTTTCAGAGAGAATTATTTAAAAAATTAATTCTGCAATTACATAGTTAATTATCAAATTAATATAGTAATAACAATTGACTGATTTTCAGAGAATATTTTCAAACCTATTTTCTTGTATTTATTTTAGTACTGGCAGGATTTATCACTATGTTTAATATTAGAAACCAAGGCTGAGAGTGAATGGAAAAAAGATAGTAAATTCATCTAAATATTCTGGAAAAAGCATTTAAAGGCTTTATGTGTTTTTGTTTGCTTTCAATATTGCTGTATTCAACATTGACCTTTTCCCCTTTTCTTTCCATATCAGAGTGCATTTCCCTTTGCTGCCGGCTCAGTTTCTGGCCAGTGCATCATAGACTATGGAAGGATATTGTTGTATCTCTCTGGATATGCATAATCTATATGAAGGGAGCCTTTTGCTTGTTTACTCCAGACAGAGTTATGTTTGTCCATAAAAGCATTAAATGACGGTTGTTTTTTGTACTGACATACATTTTGAAAAACTGAATTATGTTTCGGTTCACAGAGAGCTTTTGTGTACCATATCCTCAGCACCTAATTCCAAGCATCACTGTGGTGCCCTCGTCTTGATCCATGAGCTCACCCCGACGCGTCATTAACTCTCCAGCCCACAGTTTACATCAGGGCTCACTGTGTGTGGTATGTTCTACAAAGTTGGACAGCTGTATCCACCGTTGTAGCTGTTACCTCAACCTCTCTTCCTTCATCTCCTCCCTCTCCCCCCAGGCTGAGACTGAGCCCATTCCAGCTGCTCTCATCCATGCTGTAGCCACCATTACAGCTTTTTATCCCAGCCTCTCTTCTTTCATCTCCTCTCCACCTGCCCCCATCCCACCCCTTTGCAGTTCCTCTTATTCAGCCTTAAGAGAAACTTCCCTGTAAGCCACCCAGCTTTCCTCAACAGGCCCGATGGCATTCCTGGCTTCTGGGGTGTTCATTCATTCTTTAGGAATTCATAAGGCCTGCCAGACCCGGGCTTCCAGGAATCTTACATGGTCCAGGTGCATGCCCACATTCCATGAGGGAAGACGGACTGGCTCTACCTTGTGATAAAGTGTGTTGAGAGGCCAGGCAGGCTTCAGGCAGAGGTGGGGGTGGGGAATTCCTTGGAGAAGCTTTCTAGGGACAGTTTAAGGGCTGGAGATCTTATCAGTTTACAATGCAATTCTGCTCTGTTCTCTTCAACCCTGGATTAGAATTCTGTGTGGCTGAAATAGGAAGAGGACCATAAAAACAAGCAGTATAATTTCCTTAGGAGCTTCCCTTTTCTCCCCTCATAGTGCTGATATAGATTTTTAGCCACATAAGTTCTATATTATCCTGTATAACCCATAGTATAGGTTATTATTATAACATGTACATTATAACTAACTGCACTGATCTTCACTTTACCACACTAAAATCGATCTCTTC